TTGGTATTGTAGTAGTAGTTATATTATTTATGCACTTATAAGTCAGACATGGTCAATAATTGACATTTGAATTGATGCATTTAAAATAGGGAGGGTTGTACATTTCATATTGCAATGGATTAATGTAATATGTTGAAGGTTTGTCTATGTTTTTAATTTATTGGATTGAAATGGAGGAAACAATATTGTTGTTGTTTTTTTCTCACTTTATTTAATGCCATTTTCATCCCACGACTTTAGACCAACAAATGTGACACAACAGACACACATAAAGGGTGTGTCCATTTGTGTAATGGGCAGGGAATGCATGATTAGAGATAGTTTTATAAGTTAGGACAGTAATATTTATTTCAACATAGGCTCATTCTGAAAACGTAGCCATACATTTCTGGAGATTGTGAATTATGTAGCCACAGGCTGCATTATGTCTTTAAAACGAACTCTACGTGGCAGTATTGTTTATTTTTGCGTTCACCAGCTGACCGCTTATCTCCTTATGGACGGCTTTCCCGCTGTTACCAGCTTGTCCAGTAGCTCGCCATGTACATTGGCAAACTTGAGACGCAGATAGGAGTTGACCATGATGACAGAGTGCCAGTTCTGCAAAGAACTGTTCCAGAACGTTTAGGTAAGTGGGCGGGTTAATTGGTGCTTTTGAAAACACTATTGGTTGGGTTTGAGGAAGGAGGAGGGTGGGTCAGTTGAATAGGCAGTCAGTCAGTTGTTCAATCAGTCGGTCAGTCAGTCGACAGTGGCCTCTGGTGGTTTTTACGCCAGAACAGCAGCCGCAAATGCCACTCACGACAGAAATTTGAGATGTCAAAAAGTGTACACAGCGCCCTCTGGTGGAAAAGTACCTCCTAGGGCGTATTTGGCGCTCTCCAGAGATGTATACAGTGGTATGTTTTCAGAAGGAGCCTGAGTTGATTTATTCATGTTATTATTATTATTATTAGTAGTAGTAGTAGTAGTAGTCGTAGTAATAGTACTACTGTAACTTATGGATTTGCTTAATATGCTTAAGATATGATCAATTGGTCAATAATTAATATTTGATTTGCTCCATTTAAAGTGGGTTAGGTTGTTAATCTCATTTTAGAATGGATTACTTTGAAGGTTTTTGCATGCTTTTAAATTTATCTGATTGAAATGGATGACTATTGTTGTTGTTGTTATTGTTGTTGATGTTGTTTCTTCGACTTAATTTAAAGTGATTTTAATCCCAAGACTTTCGACCAGTAGATATGACACTCATAAAGTGTGTTCGTTTGTGAGATGGGGTGGTAATTGCTCGATTAGACATACGGTCCTAAGTTGGGACAGTAACATAGTAGTAGTAGTAGTATTACTTACACACTTATATGTCAGATATGATAAAATTTGCTATAATTAATATTTAAATTGATGAAAATAAAAGTAGGGCGAGGCAGTGGCACAGTAGGTAGTGCTGTCGCCTCACAGCAAGAAGGTCGCTGGGTCACTGGTTCAAGCCTCGGCTCAGTTGGCGTTTCTGTGTGGAGTTTGCATGTTCTCCCTGCATTCGCGTGGGTTTCCCCAGCAGTCCAAAGACATGCGGTACAGGTGAATTGGGTAGGCTAAATTGTCCGTAGTGTATATAAGAGTGTGTGTGTGTGGATGTTTCCCAGAGATGGGTTGCAGCTGGAAGCGCATCTGCTCCGTAAAAAACTTGCTGGATAAGTTGGCGGTTCATTCCGCTGTGGCGACCCCGGATTAATAAAGGGAATAAGGCGACAAGAAAATGAATGAATGAAAATAAAAGTAGATTCACTTTTTAATGGATTATTTTGATATTCGAGAAGTTAGTGTATGCTTTTTATTTGTTTGATTGAAATGTGTGACTGTTGTTAAGGTTTTTCACATTGATTTTTTTTCCCGACTTTAATGTTATTTTCATTGCAAGACTTTCGACCAAAAAATATGACACAACAGGCACTCATAAAGTGTGTTTAGTTGTTAAATGGGGTGGAAATTGCATGATTAGATATACTATCCAGAGTTGGGACAGTAACGTAGTAGTAGTAGTAGTAGTAGTAGTAGTACTTATGTAGTTACTGTACATGTCAGATATGGTAAACAGGTCAACAATTGGCATTAAAATGGATCTATTTAAAATGGAGTGCGGTTTTTCACTCATATTATTCTGTATTATTGCAGTGGTTCTCAAACTGTGGTACATGTAATACGCATACTTCCTTCTAGTGGTACATGGAGGAATGAAATATGTCATGTACATGCTACATATATTTCAAAATTTATCAAAAATAATGTATATAATATGTCATATATGACATATAGCCTCTATCTCTGGGGTAATCTGCCACATTTTTTTTCAACTGTGCAGAGTTGTAGCTGCTTTACTGGGCCTACTATGCTACTGTATTTCAACACTGCTCACTTTGGTGGTACTTGGAGAGACCTTTTTTTTTCTGAGAACCACTGTATTATTGTATATATTGAAGGTTTTTGTATCCTTTTAATTGTATTTGTTTAAAATGTATGACTTATGCTGTTATTGTTGTTGATGTTTTGTTCGGACTTTAATGTTATTTTAATCTTAAGAGTTTCGATCAACAAATATGACACAACAGCCACTCATAAAGTGTGTTCATTTGTGAAATAGGTTGGGAATTGCAAGATTTGACATACAGGGACAGTAACATGTATTAGTAGTAGTATTACTTATGCACTTATATGTCAGATATGTTCAATTTTGCTGTAATTTATATGCATATTGATGAATAGAAAGCGAGGTGGGTTGTTAATTTAATTTTGGAATGGGTTGTTTTTAAGGTTTGTGTATGCTTTTAATTGTATTTGATTGAAATGGATGACTGTTGTTGTTGTGTTAATGTTTTTTCTGACCTGGAAAAGCCTAAGACCCATGCCAGATTGTTGTTTATTGGTTTCTCTTCTGCTTTTAAAACTATGAAGCCACATTTATTGGTTGAGAAATTAATTTCTCTTTTTAACTTGGATTTTGATGTTTGTGGATGGATCTTGGATTTTTTTAGTAGGACGTCTGCAGTGTGTCAGAGTCAATGGTGCTCTTTCTACCTTTCAGTATTGTTCCACTGGGTCCCCTCAAGGTTGTTGCCTCTCACCTCTTCTGTTCATCATGTATACTAATGATTGTCGGAGTATGTTCGGGAACTGTCATATCATAAAATGAGCTGATGATTCAGTGATTGTGAGTCTCCTCCATGATCAGGATTTGGGGCATGGTCCTGTTGTGGAAGAATTTACTTCCTGTTGTGATAGATTTTTTCTCCAGTTGAATGTAAATAAAACAAAAGACATGGTGATAGATTAAAGGAAGGCTACCCCCAGCATAATAAATATTAAAGGCTTGGACATTGAAATTGTGGACACATATAAATAACTACAGGTCGTTATTACCAATATGTTGACATTTCAGCCTAACACTCAGGCTGTCTATTAAAAATTCCAACAAAGACTGATTTTTTTCTGAGGAAACTTAGATGATTTCAGGTTTGTACCTTTATGAAGACATTGTTTTATAACCAATTTATTGCATCTGTTTTATCTTTCTGCATTGTAGCCTGGTACTGTAATCTGACTGTGTTAAACAAGAACAGGTTGAGTAGCCTGGTGAAGGTGGCAGGCAAGATCATTGGTTTTAACCAAACTGGTCCAATGGTAATTTACCATACTGGCGTTTTAAAGAGAGCTCAGGGTATCCTACGCACCCCGGATCACCCGTTGTACTCTGTGTTTCAGGTGTTACCATCAGGATGTCATTTTAGAGTTCCTATTTGCAAGACAAACAGAGTTAGAAATTCTTTCATAATGGTGGCCATTAGGTCATTAAAGTAGTTCAGGGGGGAGGGAGATGCACCTACGATGTGATGTATTGTATGTTGTGGGGTATTATTTTATTAATGTGTACATGGAACTTCGCTTGTGTTACGGCACCTTGCTGCAATTTTACTTTCCCTAAACGGGATAATACATTTTGAGTCCGAGTCTAAATTCATGTAATTTTCAACCCAATTCTTGAAATGGAATGGGCTGTGAATTACAAGATTAGACATGCTGGGCCCTATCATACACCCGGCGCAGTGGGGCGCAAGGCGCGGCGCAATAGTCTTTTGGTAGTTTCAGCTTGGCGCAAGAGTGGTTTTGAGGCGTTGCGCTACGCTGTTTAAATAGCAAATGCATTAGCGCTCATTTGTGCGCCCATAGGCGTTCTGGTCTAAAAAGGAAGGCGTTCTGAGGCGCACTGCTGGCGCGTTGCTATTTTGAGAAACTAAAATAGATTTTTCATTAGACCAAAACAAACCCGGTCTAAACTCCGGCGCAGAGTTGCGCCTCGCTTACACACTGCTTAATACCATAAGAGAGCAATAGGCAAATATCTTTACATATGAAAAAAATTAAATATTAAGGATATATTTAGGATATAATAAGAATAGATATAGAATATAAATATAAAGGATTAAAATATTACAAAACATATTATTTTCTAGCCTACATAAATATGAAAATTCACTGCTTTTATGTCTTCTTCATCTCGGGAGGCTTTTTCAGTTCATTCATAACAATTTGCTTTTGTATGTCTTGGCGTGACGCAGGTGACTCTTAAAGGGAATGGGAGATGAGACTCTAATTGGTTTATTCTCAAAACACACCTATAACTCATTAAGAAAATAAACTCAACCCTTTTAGACAATGCGATACGACGCAAAGCGGATTTTCTCGTCCTTAATTAGCAAAAATGCGTTCTGACACGCCCTGAAAGCGTTTGCGCCCTGCGTTTTGCACTCTGCGCATGGACCTTCAAAATAGAGCCCAAAAAGTATTAATAGTGCTGGTAGTATATTACATACTGTGTATGGTTAGTTATTATATTTAAATTGAAGGATAAAAAAGGAGTGGGTTGTTCATTTCATTCGGCAATGGATTATTGTAATATTTTTAAAGGTTTGTATGCTTTGAATTTATTTGATTGAAATGGATGGATGAATATTTTTTTTGGCTTTAATTAAATGCCAGAGACTCTCATATATGTTTTAATATGTGTCTGTTCTCTTCTTTCAGATGGCTACACCACAGATGACATTGAGTTTTACTGGCGAGGCGGCAACCATGCGGTAACGGGCGTTGAAAGGATTGAGCTTCCTCAGTTCTCCATAGTGGACTACAAACTCATCTCCAAAAATGTTGTGTTTTCTACAGGTAACCAAACTACATTTTAGGAATCAGCTGAGAGTTGTACCCTGTGGTATTCACCTTCTTGAAAAAAACAAGCTTGCGGCTTGTTAAAATATTAAAGTTGCAAATGCACAAAACGTATTTTGCCCCACTTACGTATTAGGGCACTTCGAGATCATATCCCCCACCCATTTACACACTACATGTACTACACATACAGCTAGTTCTGCTTCTGTAAGCAGTTTTAGTCAATAAGCAGATCCTTCATTGAAAATGCCTTGTAGAGAAGTAAACACCAGGTTTATGAGCGTCTCGTTTTGGCATGGCTAGTGGTATCCCAAGCCCCCAGCAGTTATACGAAACAACCCTGGCCTGAAAAATGAAAAACACACACACTGAAAACAAGAAACAGGGTGTTCTTATAAGTTATTTAACGGAATGTTGTGCGACCACTTGATTTATTCATCGACTACATTTTCATATTCATGAATTTGTCATGCAAGTCAGGAGGTTAGCTGTAGACGCAGCCTTCGGAAATAATGTTTGGTTCAGCTAGTCGGAAAATATGAAGACGGTGTTCATCTTCAACAGCAGTACCAAGAAAAACTTTCACTTCTTTTTGAAAATAGACTCAAACCCTTTTTGAATCCGTTCAGCTAATCCCTGGGTCTAGGTACACTTTTAGCTTAGCTTAGCATAGATGATTGAATCAGATTAGACTTTAATTAGTATCTCAATCATAAAAAATCTAAGAAGTTACATCGCTAATAAAGCAAAAAATAAACCAAAAAAGTTGCTGTTTAGGTTGATATGGCTATTCTGATTCTGGTGTAATCCCTGCTAAAAAAAATCCAGCTTAAACCAGCCTAAGCTGGTTGGCTGGTTTTAGCTGGTCGACCAGGCTGGTTTTAGAGGGGTTTTGGCCACTTCCAGGACGGTTGCCAGCCATTTCCAGCCTGGTCTTAGTTGGTCAGGCTGGGAGATGACCAGCTAACACCAGCTTGACCAGCCTAGCCAAGCTGGGAGTCCGGCCAAAACCAGCTACATCCAGCTTAAACCAGGCTGGTCAAGCTGG